TAGCCGACCGGGGACTTTAGACACGGGCACTTGCCCGTCAAAACCAAAACAAGTATTCGGGTAAATAGCCGTTCTATAATTCATCATAAATTCAAATGTAAATCGTTACCTAAACAAATATTACCACCCGGCCATTCAACCAATAATTGTTCAATAGATCAAATATAAATTACGATAAATAAAGAAGTTGATAAGTGATGGGGGAAAATTACCAGTCACAACAAATGAGCGTTATTCTATCCTGACTGGATAGAACACACACAAAAGGAGGAGCAAATCAATATGGCTGCCGCCAAGAACAAGTGTCAAGTAAAACAACACAGATGCAGTTCAGGAAGAAATACAAACTTAGTGAATACGTAAGAAAAACTATAATAAAAATACAAGTATTAACAATTCAAATGTAATCAAAATACAACAATGTACAACTAAGGGGATCAATAGTAACAAAGTACAAATATATACATGGAGGGACTTTCACCAACACACAAAACCTTCAAAATAGATCTTACATTCGGCATTCAAACTGCAATATTCAAGTTTATAGCACAATACATACAAATAGGTGTTGGACATTCAAGTTACACTTCTTTGACATAGGCCTTGTAAAAAAGACAATGTGATGTGAAAAAGAGAAAGAGAAAGAACGAAAACGTGTGATCAAACTATCCGATGGAACATAAAAAAATTAGTTGTATTCATTAATCTAAATAATTTAATCGTACAGTTCATGACTGTGGAGAGTAATGACAGCGGCGTCGAGTAGTATTGAGTCCATTTACTTCTATGCCACTCCTGTAGAAAATCGACAGCGTTATATTCAAACCATTATAGCTTAGGTTTTCTTTGTTCTTCAGTTAAGCGTTAAAAACTTGTCTTTTCCATAAATAAACTCAGAACACAGAATTAGACGGGGTATGGTTCTAATCAGAAAAATTGCGAGTAAGAATCACGCGGTATTACCCAGGCGAAAGGATCCCCTAGGCTATAAAGCCCATCAGATTGCTCGACAGAACTTGTACAGTCTACTCTAAAATACATCAGGTAGATAAATTACTGAACACCTTAAAGCTAGTCACCTGCCAAATTGTGAAGGTATCTCCTACAAATCGGTTAACAGCCGAATAATTAAGTTGTCAGAGTGCAGGTAGCTGAACGATTTGTACAAAATCTATGCAGTCAAGCTGTAGTAAACATCTAATAATCAAACCTACAAAGAATATAGTCTAAATGCTTGTCAGTAGGAGAAAAACCTCACAAAATCCAGAGACTTTATCCCAGATTTAAATGGTAGCTCAACTTAACTGATTTAAGGAGCAACAATGGGACCAGAAAGGAGCAGTATGAGAACCGCCAAGTTTAAAGATCAATTAAAACTAAGTCAATAGCATCGTCAAAATTACACAAACGATGTTGCATGTTAAGATTCGAAGACACTGTGGTTAAAGTAAATAATGACACTTTTCATCTAGAGCCTGACATAAAGAAAATGTAAAACTGTAGGTAACTAGAAGGAAAACATTATACCAAAAAGTCGAACATATGACTGTTGTTACATAGACATGTATGTGGAGGGATTTCACCTATGTACATGTGTATCCACATTAAAGCTTACGAAAAGAATCTTGCAAACGGTTTTGTGAATAATATACAGTTCCATCAGAAGACAGTAATCGTTTAGTAATGTTCAAGGTGCTATTAAAACAACTCTAAATATGAAGCATACAAATATCTCAATACTGTCAAGTACATAGCCATCCAAATGTTTCGGGGGACTCGTTGTAACAGAAATGTGTTGCATGATAGAATTAACTACATAGAATTTCCTCCACATTAGGCCGAATTAATAACAGTAAGATCCTAAGATGCCAATTTTCAGGCACTTAATAGCTGTAAATAATAACCACCTTTTGTTGTACAGTGCCTAATCCTGTCAGAGAAGCTTTGGGTCATATTGTGGATGACCGACATTGTTAAGGTATTTCCTTAGTTACCAAAACCTCAGGCGATTACAGGGACATAATACAATAACAGTTATAACTAGAGGACCATTAATATAAATAGAGAAACATTATTAATTAGGTCTGGACTAAAAAATAGTACATTAGGGGTACTACGTTTGCGTGTATGGTGAAACAAAGAGTATCATTATATGGAAGTTGTAGAGGTAAATGAATCTTTGAGATATATAGTTTTGGTTCTGACCAATGTTAGTTGTATTGAGTACATGATTATTCAAAGGTCTGTTGAGCATAAGTATACTATGTGACGCAACTCGTCTAGTAAGTGGCCAGGTAAGATATTATACATAAAGATACTTTTGCGAACAATCCAAGAACATCTTGTATTTTATTAATCTTGGCTTTTGGTGGCTTTGCAATCATTTCATTAGAAGAGATTCAGATAGTAGAATTATCATAAACCGAGTTTCAGAGACCTGCTCAAAAATGCTCCAGGAGCTTTTAAACACACGAGCGATGGACCAAATTGCGACACCATAGACAATTGTCTCTTGGAATCTAACGGTTTTAATTTATGTCTTGGAATCAGACAAATTTTATCAAGCTAAATACCTTACTTGTTCTGAAATCGGCTATACCGAGACTCTCTGTTCAACAGTCTGAAGAATAATTCAGAACATCCTCCGGAAATTACTTTCTGCAACCGGTATCAGATAAGGCTGCTTATTTTATCTATTTTTTTCTTTATCTTGTGGTCAAATGGATTATGGTCAACTCTAAATTTCAGGAGAGGCGCAGAATACAATGGACAGCTAGGATGATTTTAACTTCTCAGGAGACCTAACACTTCTGTCCCATCCGCGGCAATAAATTCAGGTGACGACGGCAATATGCCCCAACATATGAAAGAGAAAAAGCAAGATCCTCAAATGCAACACGACGAGCACAAACTGGATCACATTTGATGTAGAGGCTTCGAAAGAGGTGGAGTCTTTCACGTACGTGGGCCGTAACGTTGATAAGCAAGGGGGATCTGATGCGCATTTGAAGTCATGGAGTGACAAAGCAAAGATAGTATTTCGACAATTGTAGAACATATGGAACATAAGACATCTGTCGAATCTTTACTACGATATTGATGACTTGACCCAGTCAGAGTTAGCTACCAGTGTATTGGAAGGATTAAACTGTTAGTCGGATGCGGACTTAAGACAAATTTCACCAAACTACAAAGCCGTCAGCCTCATCTCTAGTTAATACAACAAAAGAAGGAATATGAAGTGCCAATGTGACCTAAGTGCAACGCAATAACTTGTTAAATAATGAACCACAATACAAAGCAAGAAGATAGCCTCTTTATAGCAGCAAACATGGATGTAGTTATCTGATATCGGAAAACAAGTTGATGTTGTCCATGTTTGCTTCAGTCAAACAAGCAATAACATGCCTCGTAGCAGACTGTTTTTGGAGTTTAAAAATGCAAGAAAAGCAGGGCCTCTATCAGAAACTGTCTGTTAGGTCGTTAGCAAAAGGTAGGAATGAATTCCAAGTGTTAGATGGTGGTTGGAGGTAGTAGACAGGAAACCCTGGACACGGGTTTCGTGCTACTTAGCACTCGTCAGCAAGGTGTACCTGTAATCTTAAGGGAACTGGTGCTCTCTGGCGGATTCGATCCCGTGTCACCCAGTTTCACAGTCAGAGACGTTACCACTGTGCTATCCGGACCGTGACCGCTCTCTTGTAAAACTGAGATGTAATCACAATTGATTGATCACTGAGTGGTGATCAATGTCATGTGTGTTCAGTGCAGATTGAATTCAATCGACCATGAATTCTAAATGTTTCTCGGGGAAATCTTCCGTTAGTGGAGTACCAAATGGTTTCGACATAGATTTTTTAGTTTTTCATTTTATCCTAATTCATTTCCACACATCTTTATGTCCTCAATGCTACTTTAAACAGATGACATCAAGATTGTGAAAGAGGTTGCGAATAGACGTGCAGTGGCGGCCAACTTAGACGGTATGCCTACTTTATTCAAATAGCGATTAACGCTCATCAGTACAGCGAAGGATATCCGCATGAACGCTGAAGATATTAATGGAATTAACCACAGTATAGAGGAAGAGTTTGTGTTTCCAATCCTGTCTGGCGGGAAACTAAGGGCAAGAAGCAGTCCCAACCTCGAAACTTGGGCTCATTGAGGTATAGTTGTATCCGAGAGACTCGAAATCCTATGTTCACCACAGTATATATAACTTTAGTGAGACCGAAGCTTGAAAATCATATTCAGTCTACAAGGCCCTGTTTAGAATGTGGCTCGAATATCTTGTCAAAGTACAAAGGATAGCTGGTCGTTCAATCCCAGAATTCTGTGGCTTAGAGTACACAGTATGGCTTGGAGAATTAGACCTCATTAGTCATTCCTACCGCAAGTTAGGTTGGCGGGTTACGATGTAAAGGATACTGTAGCAGTAAATAAATTCCAAAGAATAGTTCTAAGTCATCGAAAGTGATGCTGACCTCACTAGTTTTATCAGAAACGCCCTTAAGTGAAGGTAATCAGTTAAACAGCACTAGATTACGTTTGGGTACGCCGTGCTGTGGATCACTCACAACAACCAGTCAGCTTAAATCACATATTTCTGGACATATCGACTACATTCCAAATATATCTTCAAAAATCATCATTCCTGACTTCCGATTTGACTGGTTTTGAGAAAGGCTTTGAGGACAATAGAGTTGTCATGCACCAAATATCCATGACATATTTGATTCGAAGAAATGACTCGGACCCTATAAATCATCCCTCCTACGTTCTGCTAGATCATGAGAACTCACCGAATACAACATGCTAGTTGTCTGTTGTCAGAAATCAGTAATAAATATGAATGTTGTAAATATGTAGACTAAGTATGGTTGTAGTAAAACAACAAGGAGTGAGCACAAAGAAGTCAATCGGTTTCTACAAGTTCGTAGCAAAGGTATTGAGGACTCATATACTGGAGAAACCAGGACTTGAAGTATTGAGCAGCTATTGTGGGGAATTCCATTAGTGCGCTTCGCATCGCGTGGTTGACTTGAGCTATTGCGCGTAGCTGACAGCCAGCGTCAACTTTCTGTGGACAGATGGCCTCCAGCTCTGAGTCAGACATTAGCGCAAGGCGAGTTCTTGTTGCGTATTAAATACCATAATGAGGTTTTTTGTTGGGGCTATTAATATATATATATATATATATATATATATATATATATATATATATATATATATATATATATAAGCATTCTGGAAATCTTACCTGCTTAACCAGTCGGGTTTGTTTCATGTATCATAACAACTAACTTCAAACTGAAGACTTACTAACTCTCTGACCGGGCGTTTCCAGCTTATTTTTCTTTTCATAAGTTGCACATGTTTCCTTTGTTGGATGGGTATTCAAACACATAACCATGTTTAGGTCTTTTAGTCGTTCGGAATTTTTATAACCCTTACTACTCGACTGAACTCTAAATTGCTTCAGGGTTTTTAAAGTGAGTCTGAAAATGATTCATAAATATATTACGCTTGAATTTATGGAAAATCAGTAGATCAATTCAAATTTTTGCGGGTCATGTGTAGAAAACGTTGAATTAGTGGTTTGACTTACCTATCATACCTGTGTGTAAAAAAATAACTTCATTCTCAGTTGAAAGCAAGGAGTCATACTTGACTTTTTCGGAATCTTTTGAGGGATAGACTGCTTTTATCCGTACAGCCCACACAACTGTACGTAAATTATAAACGGAGTATTTCCAAGGTTTACACTTATTTTTTATTGCGGTAACTATTCCTTACTGAGTTTTTATTTCGATCTTTCGTCTGTAAAAACAGACTACTAGTGTAAAGAAAATCCAAACCCTATTTCGATTTGAATTGAAATTTTTTCGCCTTCTAATGAGTTCACTAGATTTTCATTATCCATGTATTTAGAATCTAATATTATTACTGGACCAACTTTAGATGCACTTATTCACCTATCCTCCTTAAACGACAGTCGAGAACCTCACTTCTCGTCAAGTAACCTACCTTATATTCTTTACCTATATGCTATGAAAATACCAATAAGGTGCTTATATTGTTATTTTGGCTAAGTCTAGTGTTGTTCAACCAGTTGAACTAGTTCAGGAAGGAATGATAGATTACATGGTTGAATTGATGGTTACCGAAATGTCTTGGATGCGTTAAAAGTACTGTTTACTTATCTAACTACTTTTATCCTTTACAGCTGCTGTGATCAAGAAGTTACACACACAGATACACCGAAGATTAACAAGGGTCCAAAGGTAGAAGATTTTAATTGTTTTTTATCTTAGAAATCCTTTTACTTTAATGCTGTCAGCTAACAGTTTTGAAAGCTTGGTGTTGGACATTCTTCTGTTCTCTAATCTCGGGTTGTGAAATGAAGACAATAATCCTATGTAATAATGATGCGCATATTTCTGTCCAAATTAGATTAGCATTTTAAAATTGAACTTAAGCATAAAAGTTTGAGGAAAATATTTGTTTAGTGTTCGTATTTAGTCAACCCAGAATCAAACGAGGGTTTCATACTGGTTAGTACTCGTCAACAGAATGCACCTTCTCGTTGGGACTCACCGGTTTTTTTGACGATAACGTCGAAAATATCACTAACTTATTTCGTCCTGGGAATGATCCATCATAGAACCATGTACGTAATTCAATCTACGTGTGATAGCAACTGTTGTGATCAAAGACCAATGTGTTCACTGTGTTAGGTAATACAGTTCTGGACAACTGTACATGGTTTAGTTGTTGTAGTTACTTCTCAGCCACTAAATTAAAGCCCCCAAATGGCCTGGTATGGCTGAGAATGGGGTGGGATCACCTCCCTCTCGAAATGCTCTCACACGACCACGCGTATACAGCCTATGCCAGGGAAATCCAACTCACTGTCTTCTCGTGGCTCGGGTGTTGTTTACGAAAATAAGAGGACGAGAAGCGAATGTCGGGCGCTTCAACCGGATCCCAAACTAATGGTGCATATGAGCTCCAGTATCCTGCGGGAACGAATGGCGTATGAACCAACTTTCGGTCACCGGCTACCATGGGACTGCATTTCCTTACGATGCTTCATTGCCTTGTGGATCAGACTTTCAGGTCGAAGGCTCGGGGTGTGGCTTCCTAAGTAAACCATCTGCTTCGGTCTGGGCACTTGGGCAGTATCACAGCCCACACACAAATATAATGAAAATAATAGAAATGATGATATTTACTGAAAACTATTCTGGCTTCGATTTACAGTCAAACAATTCATATTATTTATTATTATTATTATTATTATTATTATTATTATTATTATTATTATTATTATTATTATTAATTACTACGTTATTTATTCGCTCTCTTTTATTCCCACTTTGTGTATCCTTCTTTTTCGACTTATACAGCAGCTCGCCTATGGTGAAAACTCGGTTCTATCTAAACGTTCTCGAGTCACTACCTGGCTGAAAATTGTATGCTACCACCAAGTACGAATACCGAAGCAGTTTTTCTGAAACCACGTGCACCATTCCAACTGGCTTTCTTCAACGTTCACGCACTAATGCAGGTCAGACAACAGATAGGGTTGGTTATGTCTTTAGGAGGTCTTAATCTTGATGTCTGTTGTCTATCCGGGATCCGTATTCAAAACTAGTGGAGTACTACAAACTAGATCTTCATCTGTCACTTCAAAAGACTTGTTTTACGTGCGCTTATCCGAGGACCCTGTGGTATCTTTGTCTGGTTTTCCTGGCGTTGGTGTCGCACTAAGTGCTAGAGCTGAGGCAACACTAATCGACTGGATCCCCACTAACGCGTATATAGCCTCTGCCAGGGAAGTCCAACTCACTGCCTTCTCGTGACCGGGGTGTTGTTTATGAAAATAAGAGGACGAGAAGCGAATGTCGGGCGCTTCAACCGGATCCCAAACCAATGGTGCATATGAGCTCCAGTATCCTGCGGGAACAAATGATGTATGAACCAATCGTTGGTCACCGGCTTCCATGGGACTGCATCTCTTTACGATGCTTCACTGCCTTGTGGATCAGACCTTCATGTCGAAGGCTCGGGGAGTGGCCCTCTAAGAAAACCACCTGCTTTGGTTTGGGCACCAGGGCAGTATCACATTGCGATTAGCCTCCGCTGGTGTGGTTGTGTACAAGATTGCCGCTCCTTTTGGAGTACCTATCTGGACTCTGATCATGCCCTGGTCTGCGCCAATCTTACCTTACTTTTCAGTGGCCAACGAGGTGATCTTCACCAAAGGATTGATGCCAGCAAGTTGGTTGCAACTTCTGTTGTAACTAAGTATCGAATCGAGCTAGCTTCTAGGCTAGCTACCATTCCACCGAAAAGTATAGATGAGCATTGGTTGCAACTGTATGACGCCATGAAAATGGCGGGTAAAGCTGCTTGCGGCTTCGTGAAACGTCCCGCTTATAAGCACTGGGTTTCTTCAGGCTCCTTACAACTCATCGAAGCTCGTCGGTCTACTCCGGGTGACCGTGAGTTTGACCACAAACGAAGGATATTACGTAATGAAATCGGGCAAAGCTTGCGTAAGGATTGAGAAGCCTGGTGTTTGAGTGTGCTAATGAGCTGGAAGCAGCAGCTGCGTCTGGTGATTACCGGAAGCTCTTCCAACTCATCCGAGTCACTGGCAGTAAGAAGTCTGATGTGAGTGAAACAATCTGTGAGGATGACGGAATGCCAGTCACTAACATCCCTTGATGTCTTGGACGATGGGCAGAATTCTTCGAAGAGTAGTTCAACTGGCCTGCTGCTCCGGCAACATCGGTCAGACTGTCCTGACCTCCAAGCCCGCCGACGGCTGATCCACCAAATGAGGTGGAAGTCCTCAAGGAACTCTAACTCTTGAAGCGTTTCACATCACCTCCGGCTCTTTTTAAACATGGTGGTGACTTTCTGACTAAGGAACTGACAACGTTGTTTACAAAGGTCTAGAAACTAGAGAGTGTACCAACGTCATGGAATGAGTCGATAGTTGTCCCTATCTTTAAAAAGGGTTCACGTCGTTCCTGTAACAACTATCGGGGGATAAGCCTACTTCCGATTGCGTCCAAGCCATTGGCTTCCGTCATACTTCGTAGGTTGTTCAAAACCCGAGAAAGATTGGTTCGCAAGGAGCAGGCTGGTTTTCGCCCTGGTCGAGGATGTATTGATCATATCTTCACCCTCCGCCAAATGTTAGAACACCGTCATACTTATCAGAGGCCAATAATCGTAGTGTTTCTTGACATCAGGGCTGCCTTCGATTCGTTGGACAGGACTGTTCTCTCTGATTGTCTATTGAAGAAGGGTGTGCCTGAGAAGTTTATTAATATCCTAAAGGCCCTATATACAAACACCTCAGGCAAAGTGAGGGCATACGACCACCTCTCTCCATTGTTCCATTCAAGTATTGGAGTTGGACAGGGTTTCCCAATCTCACCATTCCTCTTGAACTTTGCCATCGATGACATTCTGGAAACAGCTCTGATGGATGTAGGTAATGGTAGTGTGGATGTGTTGTCTGGAGAAAGACTTCTCGACCTTGAGTATGCGGACGATGTTGTCTTACTGTGCGATAATACCCAAGGCATGCAATCCGCACTTAATCAGTTGGCAATCAGTGTCCGTAGGTATGGTATGTGCTTTGCACCTTCGAAGTGCAAAGTACTTCTACAAGACTGGCAGGATTCTAATCCTGTACTCACCCTGGATGGTGAGCAGATAGAAGTAGTCGAGAAGTCCGTGTATCTGGGTAGCTGCATAAGTGCTGGTGGGGGTGTGAGTGATGAGATCAATGCACGAATAGTGAAAGCCAGAGCGGCTTATGCCAATCTGTGCCACCTTTGGCGCCTTCGTGATGTTAGTCTGGCTGTAAGAGGTCGGATCTACAACGCGTCGGTGAGAGCAGTTTTGCTCTATGCTTGTGAAACCTGGCTTCTCCGAGTTGAGGATGTTAGACGAGTCTCTGTGTTCGATCATCGCTGTTTCCGAAGGATTGCTGACAGCCAGTGCAACACCATGTCAGTAATGCAGAGGTTCGGCATCGTGTTCGGGCACAGAGATGATAATGCAATCGATGTCACCATCTTGAAACACCGACTTCGGTGGCTTGGACATCTACGAATGTCATCCCAGAGAATTCCACGTCATGCATTATTTGCCAACGCCGGGACTGGTTGGAAGAAGCGGAGAGGTGGTCAGTGTATGACATGGTGTCGTGGTGTGAAAGAAAGCTGCAAAGGACTGGCTTCTGTCGATCCTTCACGACTCCCTGGTTGGGGTCCGAGAGATGGTGCTACACAGTGGCTAGAGACGTTATCAGATATGGCTCAGAATAGAAGCCAGTGGCGATCCTGTTGTAGGCTTCTTTTACTTTCTTCATAAAAAGTGATTGTATTTTCCTTAACTGAAAGATTTCTTCTGATTGTATTTTTCCGTTCCCTCATTATTACTATTATTATTATTGTTACACTACCTTACACTAATCTGTTCGTTATTGTTCTTTTTTTCTCTGTTCGAATTCTCATTGTTTTGTGTGGCGCATATATATTTGGTGCCCTCTTGTATCAATATTTATGTGTTCAAATAAATAAATTAGAGAATAAGGAAATGAACTTTTAACTCTTGATTAAGCGTTAAAGTATAATTGCTTTAACTTTTGAGTCATAGCCATGCCATCCGGATGCAATTTTTCCACATATCGGCTTACATTTTCACAATCCGTATTGTTAAGAAGGGCTTTTATACATGACATGAACCTCATGGCTCCATTAAATTAATGGGCGGCACAATAAGATTCATATCATAGGAGGTTAACAAAATCACTCCCATCCGCTCCTTTTCTTCACACAAGGTTACATCACAATCTCTAACTTCTACCCATTCACCAATATTTTTTAAGCTTCCAATTCCCTTTGTTTCACTAGTTCGTTATCTCGCTGCATGCTTCAGCTTAAACACCATATCTCTCACCATATTATTATTATCACCATAAAACTAGGTGTCTTTTATATGTAATACGTTTCTTCATTACCACCTGATTAGTTTTCTAAAAACTCGACAGTTTCCAAAAACGTCTCAACTATTGACTTATCACATGTAGATGTTTGTTATATAGATGAAGGCCACTCATTGTATCATATGCGTTACTTTTGTAGACCATTAATAACGCCAATATACACGTTTAGTTCTATTCGAGACTCGTAAAGGAAACACGTCGAATTATCTGCCGAACCTTTGTCAAAACTGAATCGACCATTTATTTTTTAATAACAGTGCTATTTGTCAGGCACCGTAAAACCCCCTATTTATTTGACAAATATTTAGTGTAACATTGCTCGTTGCTTTTAGTTATTGTTTTTAATGGCGTAATTAATATTTGGTAGTTTGTAAGTTGGTTGTATGTAAAACATATTCCAGGTCGCTTCCGTTTCTTCTGCTTGGGGATTGCCGGAACCAGTTCTTCGCGTAGGAAATCGTACTATCTTTACGCATGGACGTCCACCTTGGTATAATGCTGAAGGACAAACTCAACAGCCTTTTGTAATCGGCATATGTGGAGGTAGTGCAAGCGGTAAAACATCTGTTGCCCGCGTAATTATTGAAAGTTTGGATGTACAGTGGGTCAGTTTAATAAGTTTGGACTCATACTACAAGGTTAGTCTAATCCTCAATTCTACATAATGAGCCATATTCTAATTGTAATGGCTAATGATATCACTAGGTTGCCCAAGCCAAAGTGATTATGGTGGGGTTCGAACCTGGGACCTTGTGTCCAGAGGTCGAACGCTTTTACCACTACGCTGCCCAAACTCATTAGATTTCTGTTTACCATAGGGATCAGAAGTTAGAATATAATTTTATTAATTGAAAATGTTTGTAGTGGGTAAACTTTTACATATTAGTGTAACAAACTAATAAAATTCAGAAAATAATGAGCAAGTTTTTAGGTTGAAAGTTTGTCTTTCACAAATCAGCAAGTTATGTTATTCTGAGGATTACATCCCAGAAATTTTGGATTGTCCAGGCTTATCGGCCCGATAAGCAAGGACTGTTTGTGTATGTTGAATTGTGTTATAGCGTTGTCCCACTCTGGTTGTTGCGGAGGCTAATTAGGTAAATTGAAGTCATCTTTCATATTATGTTACTTGTCCCAGTCAATAAAAGCTAATCATTATCTCTGATACTATATTTAAACTCGTTTTCGTTGAGTTGGCGTGCTATAAAATCATATTTGACTATTTCTTTGAAAACGGGAAACAGTAATCATTGTTTTTTTATAATTTTGATAATAGCACAAAGTGGTCGATTAATAACTGTTCATGAGGTCGAATTGCTATTGTACCATACTAACAGTCAAAAAGGGTTAGTTGACTATCAGATTTAATCTTTTATAGGGACATCAATAATATATGAATGTCAACCTCTCGGAATATGTTTTTATTCCCTTGATTTCCTGTAGTTTACTAATGTAACTCATTTGCTATGTATAGATTCGTGTAGTCGGATTTTTAGTTGTGGTTTGTAAGGTTTAGTAACACTAGTGATTAGCCCTCACTGAAGTAGACGAACCTAGGTTTTATCCCACAACCTAGTGGTTGAAAGTCAAGTACTTTAACCACCAAGTTACTGTCTCAGTTTGATTTGCTTTCATATAAAATTTTACATAATATCTATCATTTTGCTTGGTGACGTACAGGTATTTGTGTGTAGAAATGAAGTACTTTTGTTTGATGAATATTTTTCCCCATTATTTGTTCTTTTTATTTTCTCTTTTCCCATGCTAATATATTCTAGGTTCTTACACCAGAGCAAAGACTTCAAGCTATTGCTTGTCATTACAATTTCGATCATCCAAGCGCTTTTGATCTTGATTTATTGGAAAATCATTTACGCAGGTTACGCGACGGTAAAACTATTGAAGTACCTGAATATGATTTTAAAACCCATTCTCGTACTTCTAAAACGGTAAATTGAATTGATGATATTTTCAAGTACAAATGTAATATTTATTTTACCTACAAGTATTTTCCTGTAGTACAGCTAACCCAAAGTGTGCGAATCTATCATTGAAAGAGGTAAAACGTTACATTTAATACCTGTTATTGGTAAAGAACAGGAAATAAGCAAATGCACATTAGAAAGGAAATTAAAACATACCGAACAGATATATTTAATGAATAAACTGTATATAATAGTTATATTCATAGAAATGTTGCTTGTTGACCGGTATTTGAGTAATAACAAGTCTCGCCAAGTTTAGGCTAATTTAGTGTAGCGGAAGTTTCGGGATGTGCAATTTGACTAGTTAATTTAATTAGTTACGGATATAACTAAAAATGAATGACGTCACTGATTATGTAGCGTTATTTTACACATGTGCCTCTACAACCAATAAAATTATTGTCGAATGAATGAATTATTCAGAGACAATGAACATGTTTTTGTCTATTGCCATTATTCTAATTGTTTGAAAACTTTTTACCTACCTAAGTACTTCAGACAGGAATGTATTAAAAATGTGAAGCGATTTTTAGACACGGTTAGAGTTTACTGTTTTCTTAGAGAAATGGATACTCTAAGTATATCCGTGTATTTTAGAATCACCTATTTAAAAGTATTTTACATCACGTTTCTGCTAATCGCGTATTGAAATGTTTGAATTTACGTAAACAAAACTTGCAATACTGATATGCTCATGTCTTAAGCTTTTTTCAATCAGAAGATCTAGTTTGTTGATGATTCAAGGTAAATGTATACAATTGATATGTATGTGTACAAAAATCGATGACAAATTGATAGCTATACACTGGAAGATCGATTGTGAATTAATTTATAGAGTCAGGAACACTATTTTTGTAACTAATTGTTTTATCTTAATAATATCTTGGTATCGAGTTTTGTTATGACTACCAGAAAACTGCTACTTGCTACTGTATACCTAAAAAAGGACAGATAGCTCTCTGTAAAAAGAAAGGCAAGACCACGCATGATGATTTATTTACACATCAACCACAAATCCTCTACAGATCCAACCACTTATTCCAAAATCTTCACCAAAATTACAACATTATATATGATCTATTTAACTGGTGAACAACCAAGTCTGAATGCATCGAACTGGAAGCATGTGGTATTAATTAACCAACAATTTAATGCATATATAAGATTTACAGTATCAACAGAATAACCCTTAATTAACAAAGATAAATTACCGAGTTACAGTTTTTTTCTTCCTGAAGTCCTACTCACTGCTTTCTCTCAGCGGTGTTGTTTACAAAAATGAGGGGATGAAAATTGAATGTCCAGCGCTTTAACCGGATTGGTGGATACGGAGAATCCACGTAGGGAAGTTGGAAAACCTTGATTCAAAAGCAATGGTACGCATGGGTTCCGGAATCCTGAGGAGATAAATGGCATATGAATCTATTGTTAACCACCAGCTACTATGAGACTGCATCTCCTTACGTTGCTCCGCTGCTTTGTGGATTAAACTTTAGGGTTTGGCCCTCTAAATAAACCACCTGTTTCGATCTGGGCACCTAAGCAGTATTCCAGCCCACACACAAATTAAATGATTATTATTATTATTATTAGAAGCTTTATTCAACATTATATTTTTGGTACAACATAGAATTCTCAGCATAAAGTATTTCAACAAGTTTCCTTTTCTTATATCTTGATCGATTGTGACGATAAATTTTGAATGATGACCAGTTAGATGTTAGAAGTTCGGTAATCCACATTTGATTACTGTTCATTTGTTTCAGTGCATATTGCCAGCAACCATGATGTCGCTGATTGTACCTTTTTGTATCCCGTACTGGAAAAATTACTTTTGCCCTAACTCTCATTCAGACAAATCATATTCACAATCATTTAATTACATTCGTTTTCATTTTTATACTACGTCGCTTATCTACTCCCTTTATTATCATTTAGTGTATTCTTATTTTTCAACTTATACAACATCAGGCCTATGGTAAAAACCCTGTCCTATCTAAACGATCTCGAGCCATTGACTAGTCGAATGTTGAATGCTACCACCGTCTACAGATACTGGACCAGTTTTTCTGAAACCACGTGCACCATTCCAACTGGCCTTCAACGTTCACGCACTAATGCAGGTCAGACAACAGATAGGGTTGGTTATGTCTTTAGGAGGTCTTAATCTTGATGTCTGTTGTCTATCCGGGATCCGTATTCAAAACTAGTGGAGTACTACAAACTAGATCTTCATCTGTCACTTCAAAAGACTTGTTTTACGTGCGCTTATCCGAGGACCCTGTGGTATCTTTGTCTGGTTTTCCTGGCGTTGGTGTCGCACTAAGTGCTAGAGCTGAGGCAACACTAATCGACTGGATCCCCACTAACGCGTATATAGCCTCTGCCAGGGAAGTCCAACTCACTGCCTTCTCGTGACCGGGGTGTTGTTCATGAAAATAAGAGGACGAGAAGCGAATGTCGGGCGCTTCAACCGGATCCCAAACCAATGGTGCATATGAGCTCCAGTATCCTGCGGGAACAAATGATGTATGAACCAATCGTTGGTCACCGGCTTCCATGGGACTGCATCTCTTTACGATGCTTCACTGCCTTGTGGATCAGACCTTCATGTCGAAGGCTCGGGGAGTGGCCCTCTAAGAAAACCACCTGCTTTGGTTTGGGCACCCGGGCAGTATCAGAACCCTCACACATATCGAATGAGATTTGTGTAGCGCATATGTATTTGGTGCCTCCTTGTACCAATATTTATGTGTTAAAATAAAAAAATCACTAACAGTTGGTTATATGCTGTTAGATTAGAAAGTTCCATCAAAGTGAGAAGAAATCGGTGTGAGAAACGATGTCTTTTCGTCTTCTCCGCCTATACCCCGACAGATTGCAGCCCGAATGCAATCAAGGATGAATTTTACCACCAGTTAACTGTTCTTCTCCAGAAGGTGCGTTCGACAGGTATTGTAGTACTAGCTGGAGACTTGAATGCTCAGGACCGGCGTCTAGGCACAGAAGAGAGTCGTTTAGGTGGTCGATGGGGACTTGTTGGTCGCAGGACAGATAACGGAGACCGTCTACTGAAACTGTGCACAGACAACAACCTGTTTCTGGCTAGCACTAACTTTCAGCACAGTCATCGCCGATGTGCCACCTGGCGTCCTCCCTCTTCATCTCAAGCCTGGATTCAGATTGATCACATTGCGATTAGCCTCCGCTGGTGTGGTTGTGTACAAGATTGCCGCTCCTTTTGGAGTACCTATCTGGACTCTGATCATGCCCTGGTCTGCGCCAATCTTACCTTACTTTTCAGTGGCCAACGAGGTGATCTTCACCAAAGGATTGATGCCAGCAAGTTGGTTGCAACTTCTGTTGTAACTAAGTATCGAATCGAGCTAGCTTCTAGGCTAGCTACCATTCCACCGAAAAGTATAGATGAGCATTGGTTGCAACTGTATGACGCCATGAAAATGGCGGGTAAAGCTGCTTGCGGCTTCGTGAAACGTCCCGCTTATAAGCACTGGGTTTCTTCAGGCTCCTTACAACTCATCGAAGCTCGTCGGTCTACTCCGGGTGACCGTGAGTTTGACCACAAACGAAAGATATTACGTAATGAAATCGGGCAAAGCTTGCGTAAGGATTGAGAAGCCTGGTGTTTGAGTGTGCTAATGAGCTGGAAGCAGCAGCTGCATCTGGTAACTACCGGAAGCTCTTCCAAATCACCCGAGCCACTGGCAGTAAGAAGTCTGATGTGAGTGAAACAATCTGTGAGGATGACGGGATGCCAGTCAATAACATCTACCTAGGTCTTGGAATATGAGCAACCTGTGTTCGGCCACAGCGACGATAGTTCAGTTAGTGTCGCTATCTTGAAACATCGACTTTGGTGGCTTAAAGATGTTTTACGAATGTCGTTTCAAAGAATTCCACGTCGTGCATTATTTGCCGATGCTGGGAAGGGTTGGAAAAAGTGGAGATTTGGTCAGTGTATAACATGGTATCGTAGTATGAAAGAAAGCTGTACAGGGCGGACCAAGACCTCTGATTGGGGTCCCAAAGATGGTGCAACACAGTGATTAGGGACGTGGCTTAGAATCGAAGCCAGTGGCTATTCGACCATAATTTTTTTTACTTTCTTCATAAAAATGAACGTAACTTCTTTAAATGAAATAATTCTTTGTGGCTATATTTCTGCTAACTGAACTATTTCTCCTATTATTATTATTGTTATTATTATTTCACTCTCATACATTAATTTCTATTCTTTGTTCTCTTTTATTATAAACACGTTACATTCTCTCTCTTTTCATCCTCGTTGTTGTTGTGTGGCGCATACGTATTTGATACCCCCTTGTATCGATGTTTATGCATTCAAATAATCATAATAATTCTTATTCCTGATACTGATGTTTATCGCTCTCACAAACTGAAGAAGTTTACCTCCCCTCAGTCCTTACTCAAAAAGTTTTGCTTCAAGCCAAATCCAGAAAATTGACATATGTACTCGTTAGATTACATCATGCCGCATATAGAACACAAATTTAACTCTCATTTCTTCTTTCTACTTGAAGCTCTTTATCTTTCAATTCCAATACTTTTGTTAATGCAGTTTATTGATAAGTAAAATAGTTGAGACTTATATAGCATTAATGAAGGTAATGGTCGTTTTTCAATATCTTTCATGTTGTAGATCTGGTAAGCGGGATTCTTTCGTTTGTTACACTTAAGGTGAACCCAATTTAAAGTATAATGAATGTAGCTTTTTTTTAACTCGACACACTTAAACACAAGTAAACACTAGTATTCTAGCAAATAGTTTACAGAATAGTTCTGAAATGATCGAATTTTATCATCATATGGTAATTGACGTACATTTTACTTTTAAATTTCAATATTATTCTATCTTTGTGTTCAATAGAATACTGTCTACGGAGCTAATATTATTATCATTGAAGGAATTTTGGTATTCTATTCGCAAGCTGTGGCCAAAGTAAATTCAATCTATTTTCCAAGTTGATCTTGGTTGGTTCTTTTGCGCCTAAATTAACACCTATTCTTTTTTTTGATACTTATAATACTATTTTGTCCTCAGATCTTGTATAGAATTATAAGATATGATCATTTAGTGCTCCTAACAGCACAAAAATGTACTTTTATATCTTTTCATTCTGATTATATTTGGTTTCATCTTACCTTCCCTATCGCCCCCAAACGCCCTGGTACGGCAGAGAGTGGTTAGAGCCAGCTCTCCCTCTCGAAATGCTCTCAAGTGACCACATGCATACAACCACTGCCAACGAAGTCCTACTCACTGCCTTCTCGTGGCGGAGGCGTTCTTTACGAAACTGAGAGGACGAAAAGCGGAAGTCCGGCGCTTTAACCGGATTGGTGGATACGGAGGATCCACCTAGGGGAGTTGGAAAACCGTGGTTCAAAACCAATGGTGTACATGGGCTCCAGGACCCTAAAGGAAACAAATGGCGTATAAACCTATTGTTTGTCACCGGCTACCATGAGACTGCATCTCCTGACGTTGCTCCACTGCCTTGTGGATCAGACTTTCAGGTCGAAGGCTCCGGGTGTGGCCCCCTAAGAAAACCACCTGCCTCGGCTTGGGGACCCGGGCATTATCCCAGCCCTCACACAGATCGAATGATTTATGTGGCGTATATCTTTTTGGTGCCTTCTTGTACCAATGTTTATGTGTTTAAATAAATAAATAATTAATTAAATAAAATACCTTCCCTATCGGAGCTAATGGATGGAGCTTGTTTCTTTTAACAAACTGAGTTATACTGATTGTAAAACTTATTTTTTAGGTCCCAAGGTATCAGAATAGTCGGTTGAGTAGTGGTATGACTAGGTTGTGAATTCCAAATCCTTGCGGTAGTAGGGTGCTCCGCATGGGCACAGACAAGGGGGACAGACAATTTTTCATACAAATGGCACCCACCTTTAGTTCTGTCGTTTCGAGTTTATTAGTACTGTTAAGTATTTAAGTCGAATATTTACATGATCCATTTAACTTAATAGGTCTTTTCCCTGGTATTTTTTCTACATCTCACTAGCTAATGGATTTGAAGGTATTTGTTGATACAGACGCAGATGAACGCTTATCTCGTCGTCTTCGTCGTGATATTAGTGAACGTGGTAGAGAATTGAATAGCGTACTAGAACAATATATGCGTTTTGTCAAACCTTCCTATGAACAATTTATTGCTCCAAGTATGGCTCAAGCAGATATTATTGTTCCAAGAGGTAAGTATTTTTCTGGATTTTACATTTTTGGTAAGGGATATCCTAGCCATCCATTTTTCAGTTTGAATTCGATAAAATGACTGTCAATTTTATTTTTTCAGTATCCGTCATTATGTTCATCAAAATTGTTTATGTATTTATCTTCACGAGACTGAAATCATAGTTAAAAATTAATCCTAAAGCATTTCGAGTGAATCACTTTTATTCATTACATATCATTTTTTCTAAATATAGGTGGACAAAATGTTGTCGCTCTGCAACTTATCGTTCAACACATCAATAAACGTTTAAAACAGGTAATTTCTACTATTGGAAAACATGCATATTTTTCATTTATGGTTGATGTTTTATATTTTTGACACGGTAATGTTTCATCATATGGCAGTAATACATAGATTCTCGCTGTTGGGATAAGTTGAACGAAAAGATGTAAAGGAGAACAGTGAGTAGAATAATTTGAGCAAAACAGTTCTACTGTCGAAAAGGTTGCTCAGTTACGTTAGTGGCTCTTAGTCGTGCATCATCATCTGTCTTTATTATCACATGAGTTTCATTTTGGATTTATAGAAAAGTTCCGGTAAAGACTAATGCTGTCTAAAAAGAACAGGTTCTTAAATTGTACTGGAATTCGCGTGTTCAATGTGTTGTTATGGGAGCAGTTGTAATTTATAGCTCAATTGCCGAATAGTTGTTCTATATTCTTTACACGACCGGCGACCTATTTACTAAATGACAGTGACTAACGAACAACAACCAAGACCCTAACACCCATTGGTCTCGAGATCCTTCCAATCCAGTATCCAATCAGAAAACGAGGATAGGAGGCAGACTAATTATCTTTTGTACTCTATTCAGTCATTACTCAAAATTCATCAAGTAATATATCTGAAATACCTAAGCATTACTTGCTTACGCCTGTCACTCCCCATGGAGGAGCATAGGCCGCCCACCAGCATTCTCTATCGAACACTTCTGAGCAACCCTTTCCAGTTGTTTCTAGTTGCTATTCATCCTTTTAATGTCTGCTTCAGATTCCCGGCACAGTGTGTTCTTTGGCCTTCCTTTTCTCTTCAGGATTTCAGGCTGGGGCTTGCCTCATGGCGCAGTTTGGTTATTTCCGCAACGTATATCCTATCCACCTCAGACTTCTTTTCCTAATTCCCTCCTTAGCTGGAACCTGGTTTGTTCTTTCCCACAGTAGGCTGTTGCTGGTCGTATCTTGCCGACGGATATTGACTATCTTGCGTAAACAACTGTTTATAAATACTTGTATCTTTTTGATGATTGTTGTAGTAGCTCTCCACGTTTCAGCCCCACACAGTAGAACTGTCTTGATGCTCATATTGAAGAGTGTGACTTTGATATTTGTTGACAGCTGTTTTGAGTTCCGTATGCTCTTCAACTGTTGGAATGTCGTCCTTGCTCTGGCGATCCTGACCCTTACATCTGCATCCGATACTCCACGTTCATCGGTGATGCTATCCAGATACGTGAGTTTTCACAATTTCCAGAGCTTTCCCACTAAGAGTGACTGGGTTAGTGTTTTTTGTGTTGTATTTGAGGATGTTGCTGTTTCCCTTGTGTATGTTGAGGCCTACTGATGCAGAGACTGCCGCTGCACTAGTCGTCTTTACATGTATTTGCTCGTGTTATGGGATAGAAGGGCCAGGTCATCTGCGAAGTCGAAATCATCTAGCCACATACAGCCTATCAATTGTATTCCGTGCTTCCCCTCAGATGTTGAGGTCTTCATAATCCAGTCAGCCATCAGAAGAAAGAGAAAACACGAGAGTAGGCGGCCTTATCTGACTCCGGTCCTCACATGGGATGCGTCTGTCAGCTGTCCTCCATGCACAGCTTTGCACTGTAGTCCATCGTATGAATTCCGTATGGTGTCTACGATCTTATCAGGTACTCTATAGTGTCGAGGAAGTTCCCATAATGTTCTCCTATCCACACTGTCAAATACTTTCTCATAATCAAGAAAGTTGATGTATAGTGACAAGTTCTATTCAAGTGATTGTTCAACGATGATCCGTAATGTAGCGATTTGGTCTGTGTACGATCGGTCCTTACGGAGTCCAGCCTGTTGATTCTGAAGTGGAGTGTCCACTGAATCTTCCGTTTGGTCCAACAACACAGTTAAAAGGTTTTCTTTGTGCTGATAGTAGTGTGATGCCTCTTATGTTCTCACATTTGCTCAGATCTCCTTCCTTTGGTATATTGATGAGGTAGCTTCTTTCCAGTCAGTCGACACTTGTTCTTCCTCCCAAATCTTTTAAATAGAACGTTGAGCATGTTTACAGTTACCTCTGTCTGACTTCAGTGCTTCGGCTGGCGTATTGTCTGGTCTTACCACTCTCCCAATTTTCAGCTGACGGCCACCCAGGTCTCCTCGATTCTTGATGTCGCGTGCCGTTTTGATGTCCGGCAGATTCAGTGTAGCTGGTCCATTCAAGAGTTCTTCAAAGTGCTCTACCTACTTGCTCCTTTATTCTTGAATCTTAGTGATTGGTTTGCCTCCTTTTTTCTTGGCTGGTCATTCTGGTTTCCCATACCTTCTTAGCAGTTTCTTCATTGTATTATATAGTTGTCCTAGATTTCCTTCTCTTGCAGCTCTTTCCACTATCGCTGCTAGGTCTTCTACAAATCTCTGCTTGTCAGCTCTAATACTCCTATTCACTTGCTTGTTTGCTTCAGTGTATTTGGTATGTGCCTTGACTTTTTCTGTTCTTGTTCGACTGTTGTCAATTGCTGTCTTCTCGCCCACCCTTTCTTGAATCCTGTCCAGGGTTGCAATGGAGATCCATTCATTATGATGATGCTTGTTACGTGCCAGAACCTCCAGACACGTTGAAGTTAGTGCTTCTTTGATCCCTTTCTAGTTATCCTCTACAGTAGTTTCTTCTTTGAGTAGATCTCTTAGGGCTTGGAACTTGTTGACAGTCATCTTGAATTCGTTGAGTTTGTCAGTATCTCGAAGAAAGGCTGTGTTTAACTTTTGTAATGCTGCTTCTCCAATTTGCCAGTGTTTCTTTAGCTTCACTTTGATACACGCCATTATCAGGTGGTAGTTTGAAACTATGTCAGCTCCTCTCTTTGTTCTCGCGTCTTCCATTGTCCTTCCAAATCTTTTGTTGAAGAAATTTCGATCAATCTGGTTCTCTAAAGTGTTCCCCAATGAGACCCATCTGACTTTGTTTATACATTTGTGGGGGAATATTGAGCTACTGATAACTTTTTCTGAAGACACACAGATTTGCAAATTTCTCATCATTCTCGTTCCTTTCTCCTAGTCCATGTCGTCCCACGATATCTTCATATCCGGTGTTGTCCATTCCGACTTTGGCGTTTAGGTCTGCCGTCAGGACATTCACGACCTTTTCTGGACATTTCGCTATGATCGATTACAGTCCCGAGTAGAACTGATCTTTATCGTCTTCGTTGCTATCATTGATTGGTACATAACACTGGATAACATTCACTGTAATTCCATCCTTCCTTGTTTTGAATGATGCTTTGATAATCCCGGGTCTATGAGATTCCCATCGTACAAGTGCTTTACGTGCTTATTTAGACAGCATCACAGCAACTCCGCCTTTAGCTCTTCTAGGGTTACTTCTGGTCTTAAGCTCAGTTAAATGAGGAGAGTTGTGCATGGGGTCAGCAACCCCATCCCGTAGAGAACAACTTTGTTAAAAGACACCAACCAGAATAACCTAACCATACAACAACAAAAATAAGAAATTACAAGGTATAAAAAACTCAGTTATAAGTTTTACAAAATGGGAGTAATTGGGAGTTAATTAGTTTATGAATGACCAATCTGAAACTCAGACAAAAGGTAGTTCATGAATTAAAAAGTTAACGAATGGGAGTTTATTATAAAATATCATAATCCAAGCAAGTGTCTGATAATCATACAGTGAAAATATAGACAATAATTTCCTGTACAATTCAACTTCTCATTGTCTCTTCGATATTTTAACGAAAACAGATGATTTTTTTAGATTTGTAAAAGTCGAAAAATATGATCCAGCGGTCTTATGATTAGTTGATAATATCATGACTTCACTTGTCTTTTAGCGACTCCTGTTTACTTAGTTTTAGGTTCGCGTAAAATATATCTTAGGCGTTTTACTGTCGTAACTCTTGACTGAAGCTGTGTAGTCTAAAGTAATCCAGTATTCTAAAACGTTTCCACTTATTCAAATTGTTATTTTACTAAACAAAAAAACGTAACAATCTTCAAGATTTAAGAAACAAAAGATGAATTTATTTGCAACATTGTACTCAATTTGAGGCATATTCTTCGGAGACAGGTATATCGATACAATTAATTGGGGATGGTTTGCACTGAACAGATTAACGACGTGTTATTATCCCCTGCCAGTACCTAGTTGTTTTATCGAATCGAAGCAATATAAGAAAATTACCACCTGACTTGTGACTACGAACAATTATTGTCTAACACAAACACAACTGTTCATATGTACTTAGGATTGTAATTGTCGAAAAGTTAATCTATTTATGCTGATTCGTCCAACAAAATAATAACTTTATCGGTAGGATCTGGAACATATACCCAACCTTAGCTAGTGCCGTAACGTGGTTGTCTGACTTGCATATTTTGATGACTGAATCTGGCTATATTGGCTGGAACATACTTTCCTTTAACTTCTACTGGAGTGTATGCTGCTTATGTCAACATAAGTAGTATATAACACCAGTCAGAAGTGGAATGCCTGGCATCAGAAGGTTGGGAAAATCGAATCGAAGAGAACGGGAACAAAGAGTAATTGTTATGGCAATGAAGGAACGATGAAGTTTGAAACAATTGATGGAGGATTTGCAAATGAAGTATTGAATGTATGGTTTTCACATTTGATCAAAGAACTCTGTAATTTTGTGCTTAAATACATTTGGTTGTCCCTACCTATATTGTCGTTTACAATACCACCATGCCAGCCAAGTCTTTTGGAGAACGGTAAGAATAAAAGCAGCAACTTAGGGCCCGAAGTTGTACTGCTGAGTGTAGAGGGGTAGGAAAGTAGTAAGGTGTTTCCTTCGGACGACCGGCATTTGCAGTGATGCTGTCTTCTCATAACGGAAGGAAGGCGTTTGAAAAGGTTGATCCTAGAAATGTCACACCTGACCTTACCCCCACAGATTTCTGTCTCCGGAGGTAAGGCTTTTTGAAGTGCGAAGTTTATACATCGAAAAATTCCCATAAAAAGGTCGTGCGCGACTCGCCTCAAGCAGTTGTCCATTGGTCTTTGCGGTCACACTCCTAGATCTCCAAGACCACCATCAATTCAGCTTGTTTTCCAGTTCCCTCAAGAAGAAATATCCTTCTACAGTGTAAGCAACTGGTAAGTAACAGTCGCCCTCTTATCTGTGTTGGCACCCGAGATTATCTTCTTGGCGATCAAATCCCTTCATCACCTTAATAATTCTCATATCTGTGCCACTAACCTTTCTGGTATATATTTATCACCACGCGGTACTAATGCTAATAATTTGAGTTCACGGAAAATTATTCCTGTTTTCCTGAGACCACTCTCTAAACTACATGTTCAAACCTTGTGTCAAATAGGACAACAGGCTCCTTTGCTAGGGCTCTAGAATCTTACGCTATAAATACGTTGATGATAAGTCTTCTTATTGAAAGCTAGAATCGGTTTCCCAAACTCTCTAGTAACCCCTAGGCTAAATCTACACAGCAACTCGAATACGACAGAAAAGGCGCGAAATATGGAAGAAAACGCTGTACTCTAGTGGATCGTTCATGTACAGAAAATCTAGGGTATTTATAGCATTTTAGATGGCCTTGCGCTTCCGGAAAATTCTCGAACGCTACTAAATATAGTAACAGTATAGGTAACCACCCAATCAGAAACGCGACATGTGACTTTTGACTTCCTTAGTATTTCTGGCAAAACTTCTATTGAATACTGATCGAACAGGATGTTTATCAGCGTTTTAGAGCCTTTTTGGCTTTTTTGAGGAATTTTCTGGATCTTCCCAACATCTTTTTCTCCGAAACGTGCATACAGGATGTGAGTGCGGTCATTTATTTGACCTCACCTTGTCAACATAAAGAACCGGCACGACTTACCCTTCGAGCTTCTAAAGACCTTACTACAACGTCCTGTGGCCTCGGTGGTGTATGTACAACAATAATTTTTAAAGCAGAACAGGTTCTGTTAGACTTGATTCCAATATATAGTTGCTTGTGCACTGTCCGACTAAACAGGACAATCAGAATTCAAAAAGGTAGGGGCACACTGCGTTATCTCTGCCTATGTTCTCACTGATTACAATTTGAATGAAGTTAAAGATGGATTTTATGGGGAGCTATTCAACCTTCTTCAAAAAGCTAAACGCTCTGACTCAGTAATATTGGCAGGTGATTTTACTTTTCAAGTATGTAGACTAAACCAAATCGAAAGGCACTTAAATATTGTGATATTGCTGCCCAACAAGCAGAATGGCGGCCGTCTGAAAAAATTGATATGGCAACTTGAACCGATGTACACACGTACAACGTTCTACGCTGTGAATGAATTGCTGACTGACTGAGACCATATATCATTATGAATTACACAAAATTTCACTTCACCTGTCACCCTGTAATATTGATATTTTATTAGGCCAATTGCTATAAATTTATGTCAGTTGCTTAATAAGATTGAATTATCTATTTATATAGATAAGCACTAGTGTCTGATAGTGTAAATATATAGTACTTTGTGCTTTATTCTGATGATCTTTTGTTATTTTCTTTTGGAATTTCAAATGAATCTCATTAATTATTAGCAATCTCTTAATTTCAACTCAAATATTCATCTCAATTCTTGTTTACCATGTTTAAGTGAAACGATTAATATTTCTTTGTTTCTTATTGACTCTAATCGTTAAATCAGTCGACCTTTAATTCTGTTGTGACTTTATGTCCGACTTTTTATCCCATGATTTATCCACCAATCAAAATACGACTTATACAATCTTAGCACTGTGCCAAACCAATGACGTCCGACCGGCATGAGCAGCCCAGCGTCCTTATTGGTCCTATGTTCGCCTAGCCCATCCAATTGAGTCCAAAACATCAATACCAGCTCCCACTATGCGAATCATGTATTTCAAACATACTGCGTTTATATATCAAACAAACAGACCACAACGCACCATAAAATAGGAAATAACATTTGCACACAATAAAGCCAAAAAGTGGCTGTGAACGTGGGAGGCAGTAGTTAATAAACTGAGCATAATTTAGGGACAGTAAATCGTATAATAAATTTTAGGTCAAAATGAAGCTTATAATAAGAGGAATATAAATATACATAATCTAATTATTGAATAGTTATACCATAAGAATGTATCGATAATATTAGTCAATTAATACGTCTCAGCAGTTACTCGTTATTTAATCTTCGCTCGGATATAACAAATTACAGGGTCACATGTTCGATTTATTTTGTTTTGTTCTGTTTGATAATATTGTTAACCCTTACATCAGATATGTGGTTCAAAGCCATGAGTACGTAAATTTGCACTTAATAAATGAGTGTAGCATTAACTCTTTGTAGTTTGTATTATTAATTTGGTATTGCTTATCTTTCATATCAAGTGTGGACTACGAAGCAGACATGAATTCGCTAAATTCCCGTTCATACTTTCTAATGGTGCATTACCAACAGATTCCAATGATACAACTTGGGAGAACAATAATTCAACTGGTGTAAATAATACAGTAGATGATGTTTTTACAATGAACAACCATCTGTATCATAACAAGCAATATACTACTAATGGTACATCTGATAAAGTATGTCTCCCACCTCAAGTCCATGTATTACCTTCCACACCTCAAAGACTTGGTCTGCATACATTAATTCGTGATCGGAGCACCAATCAAGATGCATTTGTTTTCTATGCCGAACGTTTGATGCGTCCTTTATGTGAAGCTGCAATGAATCTACTTCCGCATATGGTAAGTAATGCTCATAGATAAATAAAATGTCTTAATTTCTAATAAAGTTTTACAGCTATATTTGGATATCCATACCATTTGTTAAGTAGGCACTTTTGAGCTGATATTTGGTTTGCTCATTCCTAGAGACCAGATATTTTTAATCATAAAATTGTGATCAGTGTTTGATGGCTACTGGGATAAATAATTGTCGATTACTTTTATGTTGGATGTTTTTATTCCCATATATTCAGTCATAACGAACAGTGTTCAGAGTTCCATGAAAGCATAAACCTTTGACGAAAACTGCTTCTGATCAGCGTAAATGAAAGTATGGGAATTCTTTCGTGGATATCATGCTTTCCAATTTTGGAATGCTGGTTCGCATCGATATCAATCCGAATGATAGAAAGCTAACTGTTGTAGCACGTTTCACACTTTAGTTAATTTCTAAGATTCATCATGGCAAGCTGGATTTTTTTTGCATGGCTTTTTCCTTATCCTATACAACTAATAGCATCGATAAAATATTTGATTGTTTAATAAAGAATGCCTTACTTTATGCTGCATAACTTCATGTGTTCATATCATAACCACTTAGAAGGGTGTACATCATAGATATTTGATCATACGTGTTTTTAAAACATTCCTCGTGTAGAATGAAACCATTAAGGTAGGAGAGCAATGATGATGTTAAGTATAAAATATAGGGTAACGGCGATAATCTAATGAATTTTGTTGTGAACTAGTTTATATTGAGGTAATTGTTACGTTTTACACATCTATATACCTACTGCCTATTTCAGGATACTGTTTTAAGCAACAGTAATCAATAATTGAAGAGTAGATCGTAGAAATATATTCAGCTTTCATTCTTCTTTCAATGTTAAAAACTGTATTATTTGTTGTTTTCAATTCCCCTTTCTCACCGTATTCTTTAATCTCTTTATGGAGTCAATATTTTTTTAGATTTCCTCATTTTAACCTTTCCTTTCTCATATAATATGGAGAGTATCAAATTAGATCGGCGTGCATTTGCAATTACGTCTCCACCGTATTTTGTGCCTAATTGATTACTTGTATTCTTATGATACTGATAGTGTATTTGTTGTCTCATGAAATTGAAATTGAATATTATACTGTTGTGTCGTCATCATTCACGAAAGAAGTTAGTAATCCCTATTATTTGGAATTATATTTATGAGAAGTCGATGGATTAGAAAATAAATTCAAAAGACCTCACAAGCATTATCTAGAGAATTATTCAAAAACAAAGTTCACTGAACAACTCAGTATTCTTTTGTACACCACTTGCTTTATATAGAACGATATCCTGAGATCTTGGAATTTTCTAGTAAGCAGTTTGCTATTCACCTGCTGAATTATATTCCTCCAGTTCACTCGTCTAAATAATCTCATTTTCAAGTCATATGTATATTACGAAATTTATTTACTTTTTTTCCACAAGGATATAGATATCGAGACTCCTCAGGGTATCACTTATCGTGGTCGGAAATTAGCCACTGGTACTCAAATATGTGGTGTATCTATTCTAAGAGCAGGTGAAGTACTTGAACCGGCTTTATGCGCTGTGTGTAAAGATATCCGTTTGGGCAAAATTTTGATACAAACCAATCCAGTCACATCTGAACCTGAATTACACTACATTCGTTTACCTCGAGGCATTAAAGTTAGTGCTTACTTCTTTTTTGTTTGTGCATTAAAATATAATTATCTTAATTTCAGTTATGTAAGATGCAGTTCACTATTTTTTCGTTGAGTTTTTTTAAATATTTATTAATAATAATAATAATAACTGCTCAATAGAGTGGAAAATTAACTAATTGATTGTGAAGGTATCTTGTGGCTATTTTTAAATATTTAATACTAACCTGAAATGTTTACTATCGAAGATATTTTGTTTGAAGTAGGAATTCGGTCCATGAATATATAATCTAGGGGAGTATAATATCTATGTAATCATAGTTAGTTATGAAGTTGTATATCATATACATTGAAGTTGGGACTATCACCATCACCACTACTACTACTACTACTACTACTACTACTACTACTACTACTACTACTACTACTACTACTACTGAATAAATTGAACTAACTGACCTGTGTATTCAATAAAAAAACGATCACTTATTTTGTTTTTTGGCCATTTGTAATACGATTTATTTTGTTTAAACACGAGTCATATAAAGATTTCGAGTACCTCGATGATAATTTCATCATGTATTGTTGAAGAATCATTCTCATAGTAACAAGAAACAGAACCGTCTGGTCTTTTGTTGGCTACTGTTGGTTCTTCAGCTAATTTTAGTCTGTCATAAAAACTTCATCGCTTCAAATAATTTTATATATTTGAAGATTTTATTCAAATGGTCTCTCTCAAACGCAAAATGTAGTTCTTACAGAGTATTATTTTACATATGAATAAATTTTTTTAAGATTGGTAAACTGAGTTTAACCCTACTTTTGCGGAAGTGACTGTGGTCTTTCCATGCCAGAAGCAGTCAAGTCTTCTGTCACAAAATAAGGGACAAAAACAAGTTTCATGGTCTGCTAGTGTTGTGTTTGTAAATAAGAAATATACTATAGATACATTTACAACTCACTTGCATATAAACCTCTCATATAATTATTGCTGAATATTTACAGTGATATGAATCAGTATTATTCCTTAGAGTTTATAATCGGACTTGCCTGTGATTATTTATTTTATTTTATTTGAACACATAAATATTGGTACAAGAGAGCGCCAATATATATGCGCCACACAAAACAATGAGAATTCGAAGAGAAGTAGAAAGAAAAAAAAACTAAGGAACGCAAAAGAAAAAGAGAACAATGACGAAGAGATTGGAATAAGGTAGTGTGGTAGTAACGACGGAACGAAAAGGTACAATCAGAAGAAATCTTTCAGGTAAAGGAGACACAACCACTTTTTATGAAGAAAGTAAAAGAAGGTTACAGCAGGATCGCCACTGGCTTCTATTCTGAGCCATATCTGATAACGTCTCTAGTCACTGTGTCGCGCCATCTCTAGGACCCCAGCCAGGGAGTCGTGAAGGACCAACACAAGCCAGCCCCTTGTAGCTTTCTTTCATACCCCGACACCATGTCATACACTGACCACCTCTCCGCTTCTTCCAACCAGTCCCGGCGTTGGCAAATAATGCACGACGTGGAATTCTCTGGGACGACATTCGGAGAACATGTCCAAGCCACCGAAGTCGGTGTTTCAAGATGGTGACATCGATTGCATTATCATCTCTGTGCCCGAACACGATACCGAACCTCTGCATTACTGACATGGTGTTGCACTGGCTGTCAGCAATCCTTCGGAAACAGCGATGATCGAACACAGAGACTCGTCTAACATCCTCAACTCGGAGAAGCCAGGTTTCACAAGCATAGAGCAAAACTGCTCTCACCGACGCGTTGTAGATCCGACCTTTTACAGCCAGACTAACATCACGAAGGCGCCAAAGGTGGCACAGATTGGCATAAGCCGCTCTGGCTTTCACTATTCGTCCATTGATCTCATCACTCACACCCCCACCAGCACTTATGCAGCTACCTAGATACACGGACTTCTCGACTACTTCTATCTGCTCACCATCCAGGGTGAGTACAGGATTAGAATCCTGCCAGTCTTGTAGAAGTACTTTGCACTTCGAAGGTGCAAAGCACATACCATACCTACGGACACTGATTGCCAACTGATTAAGTGCGGATTGCATGCCTTGGGCATTATCGCACAGTAAGACAATATCGTCCGCATACTCAAGGTCGAGAAGTCTTTCTCCAGACAACAGATCCACACCACCATTACTTACATTCATCAGAGCTGTTTCCAGAATTTCATCGATGGCAAAGTTCAAGAGGAATGGTGAGATTGGGAAACCCTGCCTAACCCCACTGCTCGAATGGAACAATGGAGAGAGGTGGTTGTATGCCCTCACTCTGCCTGAGGTGTTTGTATATAGGGCTTGTATGATGTTAATAAACTTCTCAGGCACACCCTTCTTCAATAGACAATCCCAGAGAACAGTCCTATCCAACGAATCGAAGGCAGCCCTGATGTCAAGAAACACTACGATTGTTGGACTCTGATAAGTATGACGGTGTTCTAACATTTGGCGGAGGGTGAAGATATGATCAATACATCCTCGACCAGAACGAAACCCAGCCTGCTCCTTGCGAACCAATCTTTCTCGGGTTTTGAACAACCTACGAAGAATGACGGAAGCCAATAGCTTGGACGCAATCGGAAGTAAACTTATCCCCCGATAGTTGTTACAAGAACGACGTGAACCCTTTTTAAAGATAGGGACAACTATCGACTCATTCCATGACGTTGGTACACTCTCTAGTTTCTAGACCTTTGTAAACAACGTCGTCAATTCCTTAGTCAAAAAGTCACCACCATCTTTAAAAAGAGCCGGAGGTCAGTCATCTGGGCCAGGTGATTTGTAACGCTTCAAGAGTTGGAGTTCCTTGCGGACTTCCTCCTCATTTGGTGGATCAGCCGTCGGCGGGCTTGGAGGTCAGGACAGTCTGACCGATGTTGCCGGAGCAGCAGGCCAGTTGAACTGCCCTTCGAAAAATTCTGCCCATCGTCCAAGACGTCGATGGATGTTAGTGATTGGCATCCCATCATCTTCGCAGATTGTTTCACTCACACCAGACTTCTTGCTGCCAGTGGCTCGGATGAGCTGGAAGAGCTTCCGGCAGTTACCAGACGCAGCTGCTGCTTCCAGCTCATTAGCACGCATCGACCACCAGGCTTCTCGGTCCTTACGCAAGCTTTGCCCAATTTCATGACGTAACATCCTTCGTTTATGGTCAAACTCACGGTCACCCGGAGTAGACCGACGGGCTTCAATGAGTTATAAGGAACCAGAAGAAACCCAGTGCTTAAAAGCGGGACGTTTCGCAAACCCACAACTGACTGTTCCCGCCACTTTCATGGCGTCATGCAATTGCAACCAATGCTCATCTATACTTTTCGGTGGAGTGGTAGCTAGCCTAGAGGCTAGCTCGGTTCGATACTTACTTGCAACAGAAGTTGCAACCAGCTTGCTAACATCAGTCCGTTGATGGCGTTCACTTCGTTGTCCACTGAAAAGTAAGGCAAGATTGGCGCAGACCAAGGCATGGTCAGAGTCCAGATAGGTACTCCAAAAGGAGCGGCAATCTTGTACACAACCACACCAGCGGTAGCTGATCGCGATGTGATCAATCTGAGTCCAGGCTTGAGATGCAGAGGGTGGACGCCAGGTGGCACATCGGCGATGACTGTGCCGAAAGTTAGTGCTAGCCAGAAACAGGTTGTGGTCTGTGCAAAGTTGCATTAGACGGTCCCCGTTATCTGACCTGCGACCAACGAGTCCCCATCGGCCACCTAAACGACTCTCTTCTGTGCCTAGACGCCCGACCTGAGCATTCAAGTCTCCGGCTAGTACTACAATATCTGTCGAACGCACTTTCTGTAGAAGAACAGATAGCTGGTGGTAAAACTCATCCTTGATTGCATCCGGGCTGCAATCTGTCGGGGCATAGGCGGAGATGACGAAAGGACATCGTTTCTCACACCGATTTCTTCTCACTTTGATGGAACTTTCTAATCTAACAGCACATAACCGACTGTTAATGGGGATCCAATCGACTAGTGCTGCCTCAGCTCTAGCGCTTAGTGCGACACCAACGCCAGAAAGACCAGACGAAGATGCCACAAGGTCCCCGGATAAGCGCACGTAAAACAAGCTTTTCGAAGCGACAGATGGAGATCGAATTTGTAGTACTTCGCCAGAGTCTTGAGTACGGGTCTCGGATAGACAACACACGTCGATATTAAGACTTTCCAAAGACATAGCCAGCCCTGTCTGTTGTCCGACCTGCATAAATGTGCGAACGTTGAAGGCAGCTAGTTTGAATGGTGCACGTGGTTTCAGAAAATCTGCTTCAGTCCTCGTATTCGGTGGTAACATACAATTTTCAACCGGACAGTGACTCGAGAACGTTTAGATACAGTCGGATTTCCACCAAAGACAAGCCGCTGTATAAGTATAAAAGAGGGTGAATAATGTGGAAAATAATAATAATAATGATAATAATAACAATAATGACAATAATAGTAGTAGTAATAATATTAGTATTAATAATGACAATAATTGTAATGATAATAATCTGAATCAATTGTTTGTTTTTCAAAGCGAGAAAGGTAATTTCCATAGGCATAAAGAGTTCATCAATTTGTGTGTGGGCTGTGATACTGCCCGGGTGCCCAAACCGAAGCAGGTGGTTATCTTAGGGGGCCACTCCCCGAGCCTTTGACCTAAAGGTCTAACCCACAAGGCAGTGGAGCATCGTAAGGAGATGCAGTCCCATGGTAGCCGGTGACCAACGATTGGTTCATACGCCATTCGTACCCGCAGGATACTGGAGCCCATGTGCACCATTGATTTGGAATCCGGTTAAAGCGCCGGACATTCGCTTTTCGTCCTCTCATTTTCGTAAACAACACCCCCGCCACGAGAAGGCAATGAGTAGGACTTCCCTGGCAGAGGCTGTATACGCGTGGCCGTGTGAGAGTATTTCGAGAGGGAGAGCGGACTCTCCCCACTCTCGGCCGTACCAGGGCATTCAGGGGGGCCAATACTAATGCTATAAACATTTTCAGAATTCACAGTAGTTTGGAAAAATGGCTAAGTGATTATAGCAATCATGTTCCGACCATTAAATTGTGATTTTCAACCAAATTCATTCAATTCGGTCTAACTTTTATTCGTAAAGATAATTCTTTCATTATCTAACGAAAAAAGCTTGTGTATGAAAAAAATGTTCAAGCTAATTATTGGTCGTCATCGTCTATTTATTCAAAGGAAAAACAATAACATTGTCTACAAACTAAAACATTTTGTATTGATAAATACCAGTCAAGTAAATGAAATAACCCTGTGCTTTCATCTAGAATTTATTTTAGTTATAAATATAATGACCTGTATACGTGTGTGTATAGAATGCTGAAAGTGAAAATCATCTATATGTGTGTATTATTTTTTGTCGTCATTCAATTTCTTATAAATTGAATTGGCATATGTGCATTACAAAATTAATCTCATTCTTGTCATTCACCTCATACTCAGTAAAATTCACCAGTGAATTCGCAGTTCATTGTTCCTTTTTTGTAATATTCATCTAAATCTGTTCTTTTTTTTATAAAGGATTGTTTTGTTATACTCATGGACGCCACTGTGGCTACTGGAGCGGCTGCTATAATGGCTATGCGTATATTAGTGGAACATGATGTACCAGAAGATAAAATTATCCTTATCTCCTTAATAATGGCTAGTCAAGGTGTACATTCCGTTGCTTATACATATCCAAAGGTTAATTGTTATTTCTTTATATTGTACATATTTACTAAATATTTATCAAAATTTATATAGGCATCATAACATTTCATACTCAATTAATAGGGCTCGATTTCATTCAGCTTAACATCATTTACTACTGTTGTGTGGGACTTAACTGTTAAGCTATTAATTTATTGGATATCAGTCTACAGTTATTTATTTATAAATAGAAGCACAAATTTTACATTAAACTTCAAGTCACACGTTTTGTATGGCGAGGAAAATTGATAGTGACACTTATGTTTTAACTGATAGAAGTGATACCTGGTTCAACTTGACACTATCTTATCGTTTCATTAGCTTCCTCTGCGAGAATGATTGTTCTCACGTTGTAGTCCCAAATTTACGAGTATTTGTATCAAAACGGTTACAAAGCTAGTAACAGTCAAATTTTGTTGAAAATGAGCTCCAAACAATCCTTATTAAAATTCATATTTATATTTCACTGTTATTTAAGGTAGCATTATTGGTGTTTTTAATGTAATATATGTAGCATATTGATACTCATTATTCAACAACAAACCCGTTGAACATGAAATTGTTTTTGTCGGATTGTCACGTATACCATCTATATACTAATTTACACAATGTATTTCAATAGTTTTGTCTTTAAAAATTTGTCTACGAATTCAAATCAAGTCTTGTTTCGGATAATTAAAATAACTCATTATGTCATTGACTAAAAATAAAGAGAATTCACTGAAGGAAGTTTGTTTTTCGACGTAATCACTTGGTTGTATATATTCGTGTTTATAATTGTATGGTAAATATATGTATATAGAAGGGTGTAAAAGATTGAGTCATCAAGTTATTCGATAGTCTAAATATCAAATGAGGTTACGCAACAATCAAGGGGCTAATTGAAAATTACTTATTTAGAAGGATGGAAATAGTTTACGGGTCAGAATTATGAAAGATAATTGTCCGCTTGACAGGTGTGAAGAAAAACGAAAAACATAAAGGTCGTAATAATAGTTGAATAATTATCATGAACAATTAGTGATAGATACTAATAACTGATTGCAGTTGAAATTACAAAAGAGGTTGGACGTATCGTTTTTGCACACAAAGTTCCGGTTTAAATTGGTGGATCGCCAACGCATATAGCTTATTCTCGCTTCCGGATAAGCCAATTTACTCATTCTTCTTGAGTCACATTTCGACCTTGTTAATTATTACTTATCAACCTTGACTGTTTTTATATGTGCGTATGTGTGTGCACTTCTTATCACACTCATCACATGTCTATAACTTTTTTGTGTGACTACAAATATCGATTAACGCTTGATTAAACTAAGTCGGTTCACACGCTTTCTCCATTGCGAGTAATTTCGCTTCACTCTTTTCTCTTCGCTTCTCCGATCTTTTGTGTGGATCAACGATTGTATGAAATATACGTATTCCTAATTCATTCTCGTATTCGACTTACTTAGTTCCGTTGTTCACCAACGTGATTTAAGTCGATGGTAATGTACGAGGATTGGCGACATGTATATTTCGATAGCAAGCAATAAAAGATCGAATTGCAGTCATATTACGGGTCACAAAGCGTTTTTATTCGACCTTCCTTCGATCCAGTTCCTTTAATTATGTAGATTAGTTTAAAGGAAGACTCCTTCGGATCGAATCACTTTATGATGCAGTCTTTTCTATCCTCTATACGTATTCTATAAATACGAATATACAACCTAAGCAAATGATTTCCTCAAAAAGAAAGTTCTCTTCAGTGAACTCTCCCTATTTTTATTCAAGTCTTGTTTCATTTGACTCGTTCCAACTAGATTTCATATCGTTAGGATGTTACTCATGACGTTTAATAACTTGTTTCCCAGTGATGTTCTGACGTAATTAAAGTATGTCTAGAGCAGTCGGTTCGAACTGTGGTAACACTACTAGTATTCATATAAAACCTGTGATTTATAGCGTGTGTGTTCCAGCAAACAATCGGTTCGTAAAGTAGCCTCTCTAATCTGAGTAATGTAAATACAGTTGGCTCATATTTCTGCACTGATTAAAAAGCAGATTCGATATGAATAAAATCGTCAAAACCTGTTAGTTTAATGCTGTGTAGTGGTGAGAAAACAACATTAATATCTGGAATCTAGGTTTCATTTCAATTAGCAGTCGTTAGCATGATATATCATCAGTCTTTAAGAATCTCGTGCTTACCATGTTACCTGAATCTGTGTCATCTAGTGATTCCACCGAAAGACATTACTACCGAATTTTTTGAGGCAATATTGACCTCATGAGGCATATATTTAAATCAAAGCGCCAGTAAGTAGTAGTGTATATGTTGCGTCTATTTTCACTAATCATTCTTCACGTCTCTGTATTTAACGCGGAATAATTCAAGTTTGGAGAATTATTTTCCTATAGACTACAGTGAAATCTTTAACGACATGAATTGTTGGCTGCATTGTAATCTGACTGATAGACTTCAGTCAAATGAATACTGATTCTTACTAACTGATCAGTTATTACGTAATATATAATACAAAATTTGTTTTTGTTCTACAAATGCTGGGTTATTAATTTTGTGTGCTTTTTCATTGTCTTGTTTCATTTTATTTATTGTTTCTTTGTTCATATTAGGCTCACATTGTAACTACTGCTGTAGATTCAGGCTTGAATGATAGTTATCACATTGTTCCAGGTGTTGGAAATTTCGGTGATCGCTATTTTGGTACTACTCTGGATCTAGAAACAAGATAATGAATCTAATTGTTTCTTTTCTTCATGACATTCTGCAACACTTTTGCCAATTTGAGTGAACTTTCTTTTCGTCGTTTACTACTTATATAGTCAGGAACCTTTCTAGTTGGTTTTAGTCTGATTTTTAATTAATTCTTTTCTTTAAAGAGTTTTTGTTTTGTTTTTTCTGACAGATTTTTTCTGGAAATCTACTTTCACTACAACACTAGCTCGATATCCTTGTCTAGTCCGCATCTCTATACTTGTTTCATTCATTGCAATTTCTTATACTCTATTGCATGTAGTTTTGTTATTCCGTCTGACAAATTGGTTTATAGTTAGTGTGTTTTCTTCTTTATGTATATGTGTCGATTTAATTGAATTCACTGATATCTTTTTGATGTATATTTGTACTTTATTGATTATTTTTGTCTTTTTTTTTACCATACAGTTGTTTTCTTCCCAATTGACAAGGAAGAAGCAAGTTTATTTTCTTTGTAATATATGTATGTATTACAGAGAATTTACTTTAATAATATACTAATTATTTATTGTGTACTAAAGGTTTCAATATTTTGTTGTTTAATCTTGATTTTCTTTTACAAATATTTCTGTTATTTTAATACACTGATAATTTCCTACTTTATTCATCCACTTCACTTTTTTTCTTTAGAAAAAAATACGTCTATTTTAGTTTCTACTGTTGCTGTTGACGATGACGATAAAGTTGATGTGAAACATCTTTTTCTATATAAAGTGTGTTCAGATGTCATTTTATATCCTATATGCATATATGAAGCGGTAGCTTGCTTGTTAGAATGCTCGAAATAGTTTGAAGGTTCCAAATCCCTACTCATTGCTTACTTGAGTTTTGGGCTGGCTGCTAGCAATATTAGACCCTATACAATCAGTTTCGCTCAGAGGTAAGTGTATAAATCCGTACTTGGTAAAGAAGCTATAGTTAGGCGGTGGCATGCATTTATGATGATTTAGATTTGATTGGGTGGGGAACGTATGTATTGGCGTCGTATCAGGTGACTTCAATCAAAAAGCGATAACCATGGAAGAAACACAATCAGCCCCTAAATGTCTTGAGACGACCGAAGATGAGGAGAGGTCACTCTCCTTCTTGAAATAGGTAGTGAGCAGATAGAAGTAGTCAAGAAGTTCGTGTATCTAGGTAGCTGCATAAGTGCTGTTGGTGGCGTGAGTGAGCCAGAGCAACTCATGCTAATCCAGCATATCTTTGGCGCCTTTGTGATGTTAGTCTGGCTGTAAAAGGTCGGATCTACAACATGTCTGTAAGAACAGTTTTGGTCTATGCCTATGAAATCTAACCTCTCTGAATTGAGGATGTTAGACCACTCTGTGTTTAGTCGTCGTTGTCACCGAAGGATTGCCGACATTCAGTGGCAACACCATGTTAGTAATGCAGAGGTTCGGTATCGTGTGTTTGGGCAGAGCGACGATAATTCAATTGGTATCACTATCTTGAAACATCGACTTCGGTGGCTTAAATGTGTCTTACGAATGTCTTTTCGGAGAATTCTACGTCATGCATTACTTACCAACGCTGGGAAGGGTTGGAAAAGCAGAGAGGTGGTCAGTGTATGTTATGGTATCGTGGTATGGAAGAAAGCTGTACAGAACTGGCATCTGTTGTTCCTTCACGACTCCCTGGTTGGGCTCCTAGAGATGGTGCAACACTGACTAGGGACGTGGCTCAGAATAGAAGCCAGTGGTTATTCCGCTATAATTTTCTTTTACTTCATAAAAGTGAACACAACTTTAACTGGAAGAATTCTTTTTGGTTATATTTCTGCTAACTGAACTATTTCTCCTATTAATATTATTATTATCATTATGATTAGTATTGTCATTACTATTGTTATTATTGGCATTATTATTACTGTTATTATTATTGTAATATTATTATCGTTACTATTATTATTGTCGTTATTATTATTATTATTATTTCACTCTCATACACTAATGTCTATTCTTTGTTCTCCTTATTATAAACGCTTCACATTCTCTCTCTTCCCATCCTCATTTGTTGTTGTGTGGCTCATATGTATTTAGTGCCTTTTTTACAATATTTATGTGTCCAAATAAATAACAAAGAAAATTATTACTCTCAATAATAGGAAGCTCATAGTTACGTTAAAATCTTGTAGTTTACAGTGCGAGTTCACTATAGTTGGTTAATCATTGAAAATCAGAAAGCACTGGACAGTTATATCGTTCTAGTTCGGCGCTCTGTCAGTTTTGAAAGTTAAGTGCTCACTCCAAGGCCTAAGAGTCCCAGATACATACTACTGAGTAGTCCCATAACAGGATGGAATAGACATCCAGTGCTTTTTGAATTTTACTGGTTGTTTAGCTAAAGTTTTACCCATAGAATTTCTTGATTTTAAACTGTTTGAGCATTTAAGTAGTCTCCGTCTAATTACAATACTAAAAATATACTAGAATTCTTGTTTTACTGTATCAAGGTTAGCAGAGGAATTAGTGGTGTTTTTATTCGGTATTTTCATAAGATGTAAAGGAATACTGAATTCAAGCTAGGCTAATATTATTTAATCGTCTTATGGTTATTGAATATGTATTTACGGCAGAGATATGATTGTACGTTGCATGTTTTGTGCTGGATGTTTACGCTGAGGACGTTTATATGGAAAACTAGAAATTCACGATGTCATTCTGATCAGCGAACACTACATCACTAAAACATTCCCATTATATCAAAAATTGACTTATTTGTTAAGAGATGTAATGAAAATGAGGTGATCGCTTTAGGACTTGGTATTTACTGTGCATATGGCTTTTAATCACTAGGCTTCATACTATTACTCCACCCCATATACTTCGGTTTGAATAAACGGTTGATATCATTAACCCATGTAAAGTGTATAACTCGAAATTAAGCATATAAATATGCCTGAGTTATATTAACATAATAATAATAATTGGTTAAAGGCTGTAATAATTTAGTTGTTTGAAAACATGGTCTGTTTAAATCACAATGGAATAGATGTCGGAGTACAAAACAACTGACCTGTTGGAATATACACACATATTTCTAATCGGTTTTATCATTATTCGAGACTTTCGTGAGAGTCGAGTTTTATGGACTTGGGTCACAAATGAAATTTCGGTAATGTGGTAAACAAGTCTGCATAATATTTCGTCATCTATGTCATGTTTTTTTCCTTAATCATATTCGATCGTTGAATTATGTAGCTTGGCCACTGGCAAAGCGATTCGACATAATGCCACTTGGTGGCTAGATGATGATTAGTGCGAAAGCAGCGAAATCAATGCTCAGAACTTCTTTGTCAACTATCTTTCATTTCCTAGTATAAACAAAGCAGAGTGGAAATTGTAAGTAGGAAAGAAAATATTTTGAATCAGACTTTATATCCAACTAAAAAAAATCAGAACTTAAATCGTCAGTAATTATAATATTAGTGTACTAGAAATGCGTATAAGATAAATTTCCATGTTAGCGGAAATCAATCGGTATTGAGCGTGTACCTTTCATTCAAAGTAAAATAATCTACGCAGCTAAGAAAATCTGTAATTGATTGTGGGTTGAGAATTCTTGTTCTTTCGAGCTTCCTATATGTCTAATAGTATACATACTCTACGTAGAAAAAAACCTAACAGACGTTAGGCATCAGTTGGAAAACCACTGAAACTTGAGCTTTTGAATAACCCGAATATTACAGGTGATGGAACTGGATAATAGTCAGATTATTATCACAAATCAACTAAACTTGAAAATGTAGAATAACATATTACGATTAATATCAACTTGTGATGAAATAACATCTGTGATATCTGTTTTAATCTCGATATAGTTGGACTTCATCAATCATGGCTTCTTATTAAGACTTCCACGTTTCTTTTTGTTTATAATTATGTTGAGATAACATGCTGATTTGACCGATAAAAATAAATAATTTAGAATAAGAATCGGTCATCTCATAGTAGATCACTAACATGCACTCATTTTATAGCCATATAAAGTAACTCTTCTATTTGAAAAAGCTTCACTCCTTATCTGTTTTACAGTCGAGTACAAATAAACATATTCCATAAATAACTTGTTCTATAACTGATTTATAGACAGTTATTTCGGAAACTACTAAAGCTATGCGATGAAAGGAAAAATACAATGCGAAGCCATACGATGTTTAGAGTTTTAGAAGTTCTTTATAAATTAGAAGTATTTGGAAATTAAAGACGAGTTGGTCTCCTGGTCGATATATCAGCTAGGTAGTCTGTTTGTTCACCGATCAGCTTCTACAATGTTATTTAGACTGTCAATTTCATCTGAGCTAATGGAAACCAGCATAATCCACTATTTAATAAAATTTCATACAGAAAAAATGTCTATAAATTCTAGTATTTAATATTTAAACCTTTCAGTACTATGCAGTTATTTATAAGGTTGGATAATTATCACAAAAATGTGAATAATCCTTTTGAGAAGTGCCAGCAAAAAGTTCTTTCATTAAATTTTGCCATGCACTTACCCGACTGTCAAATAATAACATGAATAAATTATTAATATAAACCGTTCTGAAAATATTCCCATATAGTTTGTTCCTATGGATGTTTTAGAACAAGTCATACAACTTTAAGCAGTCCGTCAAAATAATCATTAATCAGTGAATTTAGGTTGAACTTGACTATGTGAGGCTGGAATAAATGTCAGAGGCCGAAATGACTGTTAACTACAAACTGTTGTTACTATTTACCTTCGTATACTTCTTTGACATGTGATGGTAAATCTAAAAAATCAAGATTACAGATTATCACATCTATAGTAACAATTGTGGTAAATTGCTTTGTTCACATAAGGATGAATAGGATAATTGGATAGAAATCGGATTTAGGAGCAGAAGCCTCTGCGTTTCTGAGCCGATCAGTTATATTTCGAGAAAACAAGAGAATTCTATCCGACCTTGATTGGGTGCATTCGGGTAAATCGTACAAGATTCGTAGTTCAATTAGTAAAAAGCAGCATATATATATATATATATATATATATATATATATATATATATATATATATATTATTGACTTTTGGCTAGTTTAAGATGTGACTGTCCATCGAGAGAAGACAGACAAATACTAAGTATATAGGTTAAAGGTTGGTTCTACTATATTTCTATTCAGACCTCACATGAGGTAACTGCTCTGCATTTTGGGTTAGTAAACTGGGATTCTGATCTAATGAGTGGTTCTCAATTGTAAATGGGAAATTGTGTACCGGATTACCATGAAACATTATAGTGGCCTAATTATCTCGCATCGTGGCCTAGTGCTTCCAGTTTTATCATCTAATCTAGAACAGGTGTATAAATCGTATTGTATCATCATGTCGATTATAAATTGAGCTCAAATTCTTCATTATTTTGTAGTCACAACAATTTTCTTCGAAGCAAATTTCTTTACAATGTTTTTGGATAAATCGGCTTAGAAAACGTCAACATTTCATGTTTATTATTAGTGCTTATACGAAATCATTTTGATGGAGACGGCGGCCTGCCTGAATATGTAGACTACCTGTTTCTGCCATCTAATTATTTCAACAAGTTATCTTTTTTCATTTTGTTTGACCGTCTCATTATGTCCATTAATCGCGTGGGCTAATTAAAAGGACAGTGGTATTTTTCCTCGATGAGTAAATTCTATTGTTTTGATCGTTTATTACGTATCAAGACTACTGTTTTCACTTTAGATGAATTTATTTCAGTTAAAGTATTCGATTACAATATCGTTTCTGTTTCCATATTAGTTTGTCGTCAGTGTTTCAAAAAGGGCAGTGATTTTGTACTTGTTGTGATTATCCTTGCTTTTGTGTAATAATTGCATCAAAAGCATTCTTTGTCTTAATCAAAGTACTTTAGTTAAGGTTTGAAATCTTGCTAAAGTTTGTCTTGTAGTATCCTTTAACTCGTTGACTGACACTGCGTTCATACTGTGATCGTATTGTGTTTTTCACCTTAATCTGACTAGAATGGTTGGTAGTACTCACAAATGTGAACAACCAAACTATTTGTTCCCAATGGAGGAAGGAATGCAGTGTGATGAATGCAAAAAGTGGTTCCATAAGATGTGCACCCGTTTAAGTCCCACCGCATACAAAAGATGTTTGAAGCCGAACTCATTTTGGCTTTGCGTGTTTTGCTGTGCGAATAATACAGGAGGCTATGTGCCTATTGGCTTTGGCCTGTAAGAAGAACGATGGCACATGCGTTGATAACACGAGCACTGACAGTGACGAATGTGTCAGTGTAGTACCTGCTGTTAAGAGACGCCTTAAACAACCGACTTTGACTGACGGAAAAGTGAAATCTCCGTTAACATTAACGAAGGAGGTAGTATCACCTGACATCGACAGTGGTAACCATGCACCTCTAATGTAAACTGAAGATCTCGATAACACCGTCACCGCTTCAAATAGTCCATGTCCTGATAGATGAAAAATGGACTACAGTACGGAGAAAACGAAACGAAAAGAAGAAGGCTGTAGGCAGTACGCAGGTAGTTAGCAAGCCATTGGTGGACTCCCATTATGAGTCACAAAATGCACTGCCAAAGTCTGATAGTAAGAGAGAAACACACCCTGACGTGACTGAGAAGGAGAATTTAATCTCATAGAATATTATTGTGAGCAAATTGCTGGGGTCAAACGACCCTGATCCCAAAACTAGACACGCGCATGATTTAGAGAAGCTGGGAGAATATATTCGTGGTATCTTACCAGATAGCTCTAAAGGAGTTCAGGTCAAAAAACTGGTTAGAATAGATAAGAGGACCGAGAACAACGTTGAACCCTGAC